AGCATAGTAATTAGTTAATTGTGACAAAAGAAATTTTGTATAAATAGATAGACTTTTTGCTTATGTTGTAAATTAATTCTTTTGCAGATTTGTAAACTCTTTTGCAAATATGAGTTTCAATATTAATAAAGAAATCATTTAAAACTTATATCTTTCTGCTTTTTCATGTCTTTATATAGTCTGATGTGATCCTTACATATTATTTATAATTGAGTTCATCATCTGAATTTTTAATTAAAATTGTTCATAATCTCATCTTTCAAGTCTTCATACTTGATAGATTTTGTTTAAGTCTAACGTGTAAAATTGGTAAAGTTAAAAGTTAGGCAGATTCTAATATCTTAATCGTAGTAAACTGCAGTTAGAAATTTTGAGTAGAAACTTGATAACGTGACCACCCTGAGTTGAAGAATTTCACACTGATACTATTAATACATTTCAACTATTATAGAGTATTTCAATTATTATAATGTATAATTTTATAGGTTTAAAATATTAATTTATTAATAATACTATTTCAAATCAACTCAAGTCAAGTCAAGTTTAAGTTGAGTTTAAATTGAGTTGAGTTAAATATTTAACTCAACTTGAATTTGGCATGACTTGCAAATCATTGAGTCAAAAAAATATAAATTTGATTTGATTTAAACTCGACTTGACTCATCTGACTTGTAAGTTAACTTGATTCATTCAGAACTCTAGGAATTGGAATACATTTATATTTTTAGTAATTGTATTAAGTCTGCCTTCTTTATTCTTTTAGCTCATTGTGTTATTTTCTTCTCACGTTTTTTTTATTTTTTTGTCTTATTTCCATTCTTATCTGTATCTAAATAGATCAAGTCAATTAGAATTCATTTGCTTAATCACTTACAGTATTATAAAAATAAAGCTAAAGTTAAATATTTATATGAAAAAATAAAATATTTACCTAGCAAAATGCTTTTCTTGTAATCAGCAAATAAAGATTGTATTATGGCGAAGATATTTTGAGATAGTTCTCATTCATTTGTTAGGTTATTTTCTGAGAGAATCACAATCTTTGTCTCTGTAGGTAATAACAACTTCTTTGACTAGTTCGTGACTTGATCGTTCTAATAGGAAATACAATCTGGATCTCTTAAAATTGATACCAGAGCTGATATCTGAAAGAAGGCAATGGTTTAGAAACTGTAAGAGGAGGTATTGTTTCTGTCTTTCAAGATCTTCTTTCTGTTTTGAGCTTAAGACCCTGGTATAACAAAAGATTCACATTAGGATTTTAAGGAGGAGGTAATATTGGTAGTAATAGTGATAGCATGATTTCTAAGTATGAATTCGACATTATAAACTCTGTGTTCTGAAGGAAGTCTAGAAGAATGTATTTTGCTCTCCCTATTCTAACACTGAAGTATACTAATTGAAACGATCTAAAGAGGGGTAATGAAAACAAGTATAGTATGATGACCAATATATATATGTATGATGACAAATAACAGTTTTTCTTAATACATGTATGTTTATCAAACACCTTTTTGTTATACAGTCATACTTTATATAATCACCCCTATATAAGCACAACCTCTATATATTCACACTTTTATTGCATTTAAATCTTTAATTAAGAAAATTATCTTTATATAATCACAATCATATTGTAATCACTATCATACTGATAATATGTGTCCAACCTTCTTTTAGTAAAGTAAATAAAACCTTTGTATAGTCACGTCATATGATTCTAATAGAAGAAAGATCTGTAGCCTGATAATCAAGATTTTGTTTTGATTGTATAATGATCTGTGTAACACATAAAGTTTTTTCAAGGTTTTTTTAGCTCATTCATAATGATGGTTTGGATGGAAGATATTTCAGAAAGTTAAGTTCTTCTTTTTTTTAATGTCTTACTTTAAGGGATATATATTGATATATATTAACTTTATTTTTTATTTTTGTAAGTTTTAGTTTCTCTAGAATGGCATTTCAAATAGGTATGTTAGTTTTTTTTGGTTTGGTTTTGAAATTTACTTTAAGAAATGTATTAACGTTTTTTTTTTATTTTTTGTAGGTTTTGGTTTTTTTGAAATGGCATTTTAAATGGATATGTTGATTTTTTTGATTTGAGTTTTGAAATTAACTTTAAGAAACATACTAATGTTTCTTTTTTTTTATTTTTATAGGTTTTGGTTTTTTTCAGATGGCATTTCAAACAGGTACGTTGATTTTTTTGGTCTGAGCTTCAAATGGACTTTTGGACCAGTATGTTAGTTTTCTTGAAAGAAATTTTGTTTTGGAATTAGCTTTAAGAAATATATCAACACTTTTTTTATAGGCTTTAGACTTTATAGAAGAGACTTTAAACTGGTATGTTAATTTCTTTGAGAAGTGTTTGGATTAGCTTTAAGAAACATATTAATGTTTTTTTTAATTAGGTTTAGCTTCTTGGTATGTTAACATAAATACAATAAAAGATCAGGAATTATGACATAAGATATCAGAATACAATCAAAGAGGTATCAACTTGTGGGAATTTTGAATTTTAAAATTAATATGTACAATAATATAATTTGTATTACAAGGTATATTTTTATTTGTTTTGCAAAGATTCTAGTATAATTTCAAAAATAAAAATAAAAAATAAAGATGAATTTTATTTAAAAAAAAAAAATTTTCTCGTTAGTATTTATAACAATGTAACATTTTAATTAATAATTTCAAAAAATTTTCAATTGCATAAATTGAAAATAATTGATAAACGCGTTCAAGAATTTACACGTTTAAAAACTTTACCTTTTTTTTTACATATTCAAAACTTCTTTTTTGCCTTTTAAAATGCCACCTCTTCTAAGCACAAAAAAATCACATACTGCAATAAATGACGATATAAAACAACAAATATGTATCTATGTTACGAAATCTAAGAATAAAAATAAATCACAGCAACAAATTGCTGACTACTTTAACCAATAAAATGAAAACCTAAATATTAACAGGTCAACAATTTTAAAGATTGTTAATAAAAAGGATAAATGGCTTACAATTCTTTCATTATCAAATAATACTAAAAATTTTCGTCATAAAGAAGTTAAATATTCACAAATTGAGGAATTATTAGGATTATGAGTAAAAAATGCAAATGCTAATAATCTTGCAGTCTCAGAAATGATTATTAGAGAGAAGGCTTTTTTTTGCACAAGAATTTGGGATTTCATATGAAAATATATCTTTTTCAAATGGTTGGATATAAAGATTTAAAAATAGTAATAATATTCGTAGATATCGTTTACATGGTAAAGCAAATAGTACACTATTAGAAACTCTTTCTGAAGAAAGAAACAAATTATGAGAAGTTTTAAAAGATTATCCACTTGAAAATATATTCAATGCAGATAAAATAGGACTCTTTTTTCGTATGGTACCTAATCAGACTTTAGAATCTGCTCCTACTTTGGATACAAAATGAGTAAGTAATAGATTAATTTTATTTATTATTTTGTGTTTTATAAAAAAAAAATAAAATTAATTTTTTTTTTAGGACAAATCTCGTATTACTGTTTTTTTAGCTACAAATGCTACTGATACAGAAAAACTTAAACTACTTGTAATTGGTTCTTCAAAAAATCCTAGATGTCTTAATCGAATTAACTGTAACTCACTTCTATGTATGTATTATACTAATCCAAAAGCATGGATGTGAAGTGATATTTTTGAAGAATGGCTTAAATATACTAATAATATATTTAGAGTACAAAATCAAAAAATTTTATTACTTGTGAATAATGCATCATCACATATTAATCCTGATGAATTAAATTTATCACATATGAAAGTAAAATTTCTTCTGCCTAATACAACAGCCCATTTGCAACCTATGAACGTGAGAATTATTAATAATTTTAAAGCAATTTATAAACAACATTATATTCAACATATTCTCTATCAATTTGATACAAATGTAGATTTGAACAAGTTAAGTATTTAAATTAATTTTTATTTTATTTTATATATATATTATATATAATCCTAACAAATTTAATATTATATAGAAATAAAATCAATGTTAAAGAAGCTATGGAATATGTTGCATAAACTTGGGATTTAGTAAAAGTAAAAATTATTATTAATTGTTAGCATAAAACGGGTATTTTACTGATAGTTAATAATGATGATATACAACAAGCTTTAATTGCAAAAGAAATAGTAAATCAAGAAGATCAAAGAGTTATTGAAGCACTTTTGCAAACCAATATGGATGAATCTTTAAAAGTTGATATAGATCAATATTTAGAAGTTGTTGATTTAACAGTTCCAACAGAACAGCAATTAATAGATATTGAGATTGTACAACTTGTTTTGAAAGAACAACGCAATGATACTAAATTAAATAATGAAATTAATCAGAAACGTCATATAGTATCAACAAATAAAGCTTTTAATGGTCTTAAAACATAGATGCAATATTTAGAAGGATAGGAAAATGAAGAATTTGATATGAAAGATATGCAAATTTTTAGAAAAAATATGAGAATTATGTAACGAAAAGTTTTTGATAATAAAATACAAAAAAATATTACTAGTTTTTTTAATTAATGTATCTTTTAACACATTTTATAATAAATATATTTGATAATAAATAATTTTATAATATAACCTCTACTTAATCACAATATTATAAAATTACTTATAATGTGATTATATTAAGGTATTCAATATATAGTCACACCTCTATATAAGCACATATTTTACATGTTCCCAACTGCGTGAGTATAAAGAGGTATGACTGTATATATAAATGATGTATGTGTGTATGAATAAAATACCACATTCTTTAAGCATACACCATACATTTGTCATCATACATACATACATCGGTCACCATACCATACTTGTTTTCTATACGATCGTCTAAAGATAGGTTTAAAATCGATTTTAATATTGTAAATCATGTGATCCGTAACGTGATTCTAATCCTAAAATTTTGGGAATTTTTGTTTCTTATCGTACTAATAAAAGGTTCCATAATGGCGTCTGGGAAAATTTCGTTCTTGGGCCAACAGCAGAATCGAGAAGTTGCTGAATTAGGCTTACGTTTGAAAGAAGCAAGTGAAAATGTGACAACCAATCAAATGGGCGTCCAGCATTCTGTCAAACGTCCAATTATTAAAAAAGTACTTGAAACAATGGCGGCTGGTATGGACGTATCACCGTTATTTGGTGACATTGTCAAGGTTTGAGCTATAATTCTCATATCGATTGATATACCTTTTATATATTAGCTTAAATGTTATATTTTTCTTCATGGTACCAAATAAAGGCAGCTTCTACAAAGGATTTGGTTCAAAAAAAGCTTGCGTACATGTATATATCAGTACAGGCTGAAAAAAATGTTGATCTGGTCATTTTAGCCGTTAATACTTTTCAGAATGACCTTCAAAACGAAAATCCATTTGTAAGAGGATTAGCTTTACGTACCCTTTGCTCAATGAGGTAAATGGTATTTCCCGTTAATTTTTATTCATGATGATTAATATTATTAAAAAATAAAAACCTTTTTTTTTGTTCTTCGATTAGGCTTACGGATTATGTACCATATATGCTAAAATCTTTGAGTCATGCCTTAATCGATTCTAGTGCATATGTGCGTAAGACCGCGTTAATTTCGTGTGTCAAGTTATTTCACCTTGCTCCGAAAGAGGTTTTAGGTAGATGACCCTCCATTTGTAAGTTTTAAATGAAAATTTTTTAACTTCAGAATTGATCTAAAAAATTTTAAAAATTTCCAATGATACCAAATTATTTTGATATATATATATAGATGCTTCTTTGATCGATCAATTATATAATACTTTAAGAGACCGAGATCCCGAAGTTGTTGCAAACGGCATTGCTGCTCTGAATGAAATATTACGTTCAGAAGGTGGAATGACTATCAACGCGAACATTGCTCTCTATTTGCTACAACGATTGCGTGAATTCAATGAATGGCATCAATGTTTGGTTCTAAACACTCTCATTCGATATAAACCATCTAATGAAGATGAGAAGTTTGATATCCTGGTAAGTCAAGGATTATTATTTGTAAGTAAATTATTAAATTAAATTAACGTGTAAATTATTTTTTTTTTAGAATTCTTTGGATGATCGTCTTAAACATCATAATAGCGGAGTTCAGTTAGCTACTATTAAAATCTTCATAAAGTTAACTGAAGGCATGACCGAAATTCAACAAGACGTTTATAAAAGAATAAAGGGTGTGTGTAAGCAATCAGTCATATATTGCGCGATTTCCTCTAGTTAAATGTATATAACTTATATTATAGAACCAATTTTGACTCTATTGTCGTTGGGAAGTCCAGAAATAGTGTATTCATGTTTGGAACATGTTATTGCATTAATGAATTCATCTCATCAATTTTTACGGGAAGATTACAAATATTTTTACCGAAAGTATGACAATTATGACGTTAATTGACTTAGCATTATTAGTAAATTAATTGAATTTAAAATTCTGATATGTAGAGTTAAAGAGCCATCTTTTGTTACGTTAAGAAAGTTAGAAATATTAGAAATCATCGCGACAGAAAAAAGTTCAAAAGATATTATCGATGAGATTAGGTAATTACATTTATTTTGTAAATTTATTTTGTATTGTAAAATTAATTATTTTAAAATATTTAGTGGTTATATTACTGGAAAAGATAAGTTGATTACACAAAGATCTGTAGAATCGATCACCAAAATTTCCTTTCGCATTGAAAGTGTAATTTCTTATTCCCTTGAAATTTTCATGAAATTATTGGAGACTGGTATTGACATTATTATATCAAGTATCATTACAATGCTTGAAGGTAGGCTTTCCTTTATTGCGTTAGCTGATTATAATCTTTACGATATGTTAGATAATATTAATTTGATGTTTTATGCGATTAGAATTTATGAACGAAAGCCCTGAAAAAGTCGAGAGCTCGCTTTCGGTTTTACCCTTAATTTGGACCACAATAGATTTGAACTCAAAAGCAGGGCCCGCTTTCCTTAATCTTTTGGCAATAGTTGGATATGAAATTCCGGAGGCGCCATATATTTTGGAATCCTTGATTGAAGATTTGGAAAATTATCCAACCACCTCTTTTCGTTTACAACTTTTAGATTCGACGGTCACATTGTTTTTACGTAGACCGGTAGAATGTCGTGTGATGTTGTCGAAATTATTCAAAATTTCAATGGAACAAACCGAAAATCTTGATATTCGTGAAAGGGCATTATTCCTATATCGATTGCTACAAAATGACATCGAAAAGGTGTGTATAGTTAATAGGTTACAACATAATTATGATCCATATAATTAAACTTATTATTATTTTATTAATTTGTTTAGGCTAAGGAAATTTTCAAATATCAGCGTTATGCGTCTAAGAATAATTCAAAGAAAGATAATATCAACATGAAGGTTTGCTTATAATATATGAAACATTATTTGAGTGTTTATACATGTGTTTGTATGTTTAATTCTCATCAAATTTCGCAATAGAGTAAACACCTTCCCGAATTTAATACACTTTCAATCCTTTACGGGAAACCTTCAGAACAATTTATTGTCGAACTTGAACCGATACCAGGTCTATTTTCAAAAAGGAAAGATGACGATTTCTTTTCTTCACTTTCGCTTCATAATATTTCGGAACCTGATGAGGTAAGTCGCTTCTTATTTCTAATCTAAAGCTTAATTTATTTGCTAAAATCAAATTATTTTATCTAGTTGATACCAGTTCAACCTCAAAATTTAGTTAAGGAGGAATTTACATTATCATCTACAGTATCAGTTGATGCTAAGAAATTTAAATCCTATTGGGAAGGCTTTAAAGAAATGTAATTACCATTTATTTAAAACATGGTTTATTGAGTTTAATTTAATGTAATTATATCTCTTCAACTCAAAAAAATAGTTATGAATTTGAAGTATCTTTATTGGATTCACCAATCTCTTTGACACGGTTAACACTAGATGACATTGAAGCCGTATTTGAAGAAAACAACATAATGACTATGGCGTCGGGAGGTACTGGAGATTTTATTAAATTGTTCTTATACGCTCAAGAGGTAAACTATCATCTGTTCTATTAAAATATATGCTTATATCTGGTTGTTTTAATAATTTTATTATTCTATTACAGACTGGTTCTTATATATTAATGTTATGCGAAATTAAATTGAACTTCAATTCTAAGATTGCCAAGGTTATTATGAAAGTGGGACATGAAACAGATCAGATAATGAATTTAACCAAACATTCAGAATATTTTTCACAATATTTAACCAGATGCATAAAAATTTGTTTTAATTCGGTTAATTAGCAATTTTTTTTTTTTTCATTATATTGATTTAATTTCGGTAAATTTATGTCATTGATTTTGTCTATAATGAGATAAATCGCATGTATTATTTGAATTACCCAAGATAATATTTAATTTTAAAATACTTTATAAAAACGTGTATTGAAAGATTACCTGAAAGATTACCTAAAAGATTTTTGCATATTATAAACAATCCGAATATATATTAACTTGTAAATCCATAAAAAAAAATTAATAATAATTTTTATTATATCGTGAATTCATGATATAGATGATAATAAATAGATTTCTTTCAAATTTATTTGATCTGCGAAACCCATTCAAGATTAATTTACTGAAGTTATTGACTAAAAATTTCTCGATTCCAAAAATTTTTAGAAATAATGAATCCTCCGAACGCATCATCAGTGTCACTCTATCGTCAAATACTTCGCTATCTTCGTTCTTCTTCATTTCCTTTTAAATATCTCCGTCCAAAAATTCATTACAATGTTCGTGAAATGTTTGAAATATATCGTAATGAGAGAGATAACGATAAAATAAAAATGCTATTAAGACGTGGATGGCAAGATATAGAATTTTTAAAGTCTTGGGAAATTGTGGAAAAAGAAATTCGAGATGATATCTTTAGAGGATTTCACAGTTAATTAAATACAAAAAAAATAATAATAATAAAAATACTTGTTGAATTTATATCAGGAAAGTTTTAAGTTTATTAAAATTTATCAATTTTGTATCTACAATTAATGAATTTTTATTTTTTTGAAAAAAAAAAAAAAATAAATTTAAATATTAATATAATAAAGATATAAATTTAACTATAAGTATTTTTTATTATATTTCAGATAATATTTTCATTATAATTTAAATCAACAGTTCTAAAAAGTTAATAAGATTAAAAAAAAACTTACATATAATGAATTGTATTATAATGTAATATTTTAATTAATATTAGTTTAATATTATAGATTTTTTTAAAAACAAATATCTATGCTATAAAAATAAAAAATATAAAAAAAAATATAATTTATTAATAAAATTAATAATTTACTTATTAATTAGAATCAATTTTGAATATATTAATAATTATCAAAAAATATATAAAGTTTACATATATTATTAACAAAAGTATTAAACTTGATCTTTTTCATGATATTAACTTGATTCAGTCATTTATGCATAACAAAAAATATGCATTTTTTGACCTGAAATATAATAATCTATATTGTAATAAATCAAAAAAAATAAATATAATTAATATTAGAAATTTTATTAAATATAAATTTAAATTTTACAATTTTAACATTTTTAATAAATAAATAAAACTAAAAATAATTATTAGTAAAAGAGTTTAACTTTTAAACTTTATAATCTATACTTAATAATAATTACAGTAACACCTCCATAAATGCATCCCCTGGGGACTGAACATAAACGTGCATTTATGGAGAGTGTGCACTTATGGAACAGCCAATAGAAAAATAGATAATTACACAAAATTAAAATCCGAATGCATTTATTTAAAATTTTTTGAATTTTTTAAAATTTTGTATAATGCGTGTTTAAAAGCTAAGTACTTTTAAAAAAATATGTGTTAATGTCAGTTTGCTACATCGAGCTTGTTTTTTTAACTTTGAAGAATTTTTCAATTTTTCTCACTAACTTTACATATTTTTCTGCATTGTCCTGTTGAAGTAGATACATGTGTACTGTTTCTAAACTAACCACTGCAGTATTAGTACTAATAATAGGAATTTCACAGCTGTCATCCATTTCTTCTGAGTCTAAATTTTCCTCATCAGCATTTTTAAAAAGATACACAAGTTCTTCAATGATTTGATCATCTTCAGAAACTTTGTAAATGATATTCTCTTCAGAAACGTTAAGAAACTCTTTTAATCACATTTTATGGGAAAAATCAAGAGCTTGAAGTGCATTCGCAAGATCATTAAGTACTGAGTTTTTATCATCTGAATCATTTCTCAAATCCGTGTCTGCATCAATATGGATAGGAAGAATCTTTGTATGGCACTAATAATTATGAATCATATTGACTTTAACCTCATTCTAGGCTTAGATAATAAAATGAATTGTCTGCAAGACATCTATACGTAAGTCTTTTACGCAGTTACCTTCTTCTACATGTCAAAGCATTAGGCTTTTAAAAAAAATAGGTAATTAGATTTTGGATGTTTATAATATTTAATAAATTTATTTATAAATATATCTTACCGTATATGAGAATGACGGTAATGTCTTTTAAAAGTCATTATGATTCCAGAATTCATCGGTTGGATTTTTGAAGTCGTGTTCAGAGGTAAAAAATAAACATCAGTATATTGTAAGGTAAGGCTGACTAATTTGTGACTGGAACAGTTATCAAGAAGAAGTAATACCCGCTGGTCTTGATACTTTAGACCAACTTAGCGATCAAACTCCTGAATCCACTCCTAAAAAAGTGATGTAATCATTTAGGCTTTGGCATTGTTGTGATACATCATGAGCATACTATGAATCCTTACATTTTTAAAACAACGCAGTTTTTCATATTTGCTGATTATTAAAGGTTTGAATTTGTGTGATTTATCAGCATTCACATATAACGTGATTGAAAGGCGTTTTTTATTCATTTTATGTCTAACAAGACGTTTAGTTGCAAGCGTTCGATCAGGTTCTAGCCTACAATCACGCAAGATAAGTATTTCTTTTGTTTTAATTTTTTTGTTCTTTTAATTGTATTACTAAAAATTTTACCTGTAAAATAGTCTGGTTTTATCCATATTATAGATTCTCTCAAGAGAATAATTAGAGCAGCGTTCCCTTAATAAAGGTAGGGCATTAGTAATGGCAACTTCATCAGCAGATGAAGCTTCTCCTTTAAGCTTTCGTTGACGAATTCTATTGTAATCCTTAAACTTTTGAAGCCATCCTTAAGAAAATTAAAATGCATCCTGGGGAATCTCTAATTTGTTAGCAATCATTTTGACTTTCTCAATAAGTATTGCATCACTTAAAATCGTCTGATGCTGATATTCTAAAACAAATTCTTTAAGCACAAACTCAAGTTCTGGATAAGAAATGGGTTTATGTCGCTTTGTATTTGGGCTGATGATTTCTGAACTAAGTCGTTTGTCTGCTGTTTATAAGGTACAGGTAATAGTATTTTCGTTAACTCTAAGGCTCACTGTTCTTAAATCCAATCGATATACTGGGCTTGAGTTTTTTTGCTATTATCACGAGCGTATTTACAAAAATCTCGCTTTTGAATTTTAGTAAGAGTGGTTTTTTTAAGAGACATTTTTTGTTGATTTCAATGTATCAAACAATATCAATGAAAATTAGGCGAAAATTTTTTATTTAGATATATAACAGAACTTAATCATGATCCTATTCCTTTTTGTGATATTTTCAACAATTTACTTTCTTTATTTATAGGTTTGTTTATGCTTTATTTCCTCTTAAGTATAATTATTCCACATATATACTCACTTCTAAATTTTCTCCAATTAATACTAATTTGGTCTAGTTACAATGAAATACAAATTATGTTTACACACTCGTACTCACTAAATACCCTTTTTTTTTACAAAAATGTAAAATTTATAGTCAAATATATTATCTGATATACTTTTTTTAAGTCATTCACAATACACATAAAATCATTGATTTACTGCGAATTTATCCATTAAATAGTATATTTTACTTTGATAATAAAATCAATCACGTGAATAAATTATTGTTTCTGATTGGCTGGATTTATGTATTAGTCACGTGAGTGTATTTATAGAGGTATTCTAATTATACACAGGACTTAAAATTACTTGCACGTGTAGAATATAGAGGGTGTGCATTTAGCTCTAAGTTCCAAGCTTGAGACCAAGCTATAGTGTGCATATAGAGAGGGTATGCATTTATAGAGCGTGCATTTATAAAGGTGTTACTGTATCTTAAATATATTTTTAGATTTACATATAATATTTTTATTATATATATTCTAACAAGCTATTTTTTTAAGCTTTTCATAATAAAAGATTATGTATACTGTTTTTTAAATACAATATATATATATAATAAATTATTTGACATAATTATTTTTTATAATTCTAAATAAATTTTAAAGTTATGAAATAATAAAATTTCATCATTATTATTATTTAATTAAATTTTATCTAATTGCAATATTAATAAAGCAGAAAAAATTATTCACTAGTTTTTTTAGATCATATCAGCATTTTATAATTATATGTTTTATTATATTTATAACTAGAGAATGAAAACCATTATGCATCTGAAATATTAATTTATATCGCTTAAATATATAACAGAAAAAATCAAAAAATAAATTTAATGTAATACTGATTTTTTATATAATGCTAATTTATTAATACAGTATTATATGAAGAAAAATTTGTTAATTCTGATAATATAAAATAAAAACAACTAAGTAAAAGATATATATTTATATTATATCTAATCTTAATTTTTATTGATTAATTCTGTGATTGATAAACAGGTATTGCATAGTTTTAACTATAACAGAAGTATTTTTTATTACGCTTTGAACAATAAAACACTATATATTTTTTTAAAGTAAGTATATAGTATTTTATAAATTCTATTATTTTAGAATGTAAATATATAATTAAAGATTTAGAAAATAAAAAATATGTGTATTTTATTAATTATAAATAAAAGTAAATTATAAAAATATTAAAAATGATTTTGACTCGTTATTATTAGAATGGATTATTATTAGATAACAAAAATTATTTATAAGTTTAAATATTAAAAATACAATTCAATTTAAATTCATATGATAAATAATTTATAATAAATCAGCAGTAAAATAAATGTATACTAATAAATATTGACTCAAATAAAAGTAGGAAAACAAACAGATTTATTTATTTAGAATCAAAGAATAATTATAAACTAATTGATCTTAAAAATATTGTAAGTAAGGTTGCTAGACAAAATCTAAAAGTTTTACAAGTTATTTAAATGAAAAAAGGTAAAATTTAGTAAAATTATATTAAAATCTTATTAAAAAATCTGCGAAATTCTAAAAAAAGTAAAATTATATCAAAGCTTATAAAATTGCAAACTATATCAAATCTTAGTAAAAAATTAGTGAAACTATAATTTAAACATTTTATCAAATCTAAAATAAGTTTAGATAAGCAACTTAATTATAAAAGTTATAATTATTATCAAACTTAAAACAAAAATAGATTATAAAGAAATTAAATAAAAAATAAAGTATTAGTGTTTATATAATAAAAATATTATAAAACTAAATAGGTTAAAGAGTTAATTATAAATTTAAAGATAGATTCAAATCAAAATTATTATTTTTGAAAATATATAAAACAGATAGATTATTATTAAATAATTTAAAATAATTTTAAATTATCCATATTATTCTTATTATTTTTAGCATTTTTTATTATTAAAGTAATAAAATTTTTATAATTTTAAAATAATAATGATTACCTTATATGTATAAATTTATATTTTAATATATACAGTCCCCGGCGAAAAGAATGGCGGAGACAGATTTCAACAATATGTATAAACTTTATTTTTAATGTTTATTTTTATTTTTTTATTTAAAAGAATAATACTAACAGAACATTTTTTAATACTTAATTAATATTTTGTGTGCCCTCCTTCTGTATCAATACATGCTTGAATCTGATTCGGCATGCTA